CTCTCTCTTCTCTCTCTCTCTCTCTCTCTCTCTCTCTCTCTCTCTCCTTCTCCTCTCTCTATGTATATATACACGCCATTAACCGTATGGGAAATTCTGGCCATAGCTCAATATGGAGTCTGCAAACATCGTTTTATGGGCGGTGGACGCCTTTCGCCAGCGGGAATCTCAAGCTTTTCATGAACCAAGAAAGACAGGCAACACTATGGACGTGCTAAGATCAAGACAAACACACAAGGATACCCCTGAGCCTGTGCTGATTAGGGTTTTGGGTTCAGAGTCATTCACTTACTGAGCTCCTCTTTGCTGATGCAAGATACACCGACAGTCCGACAGTCAGAAGTCAGAAGTTCCAAGAAGGGAAGCGAGCTTTCCACGTTGGTTTCAGATGGTCAAGCGAAAGTCGGTCATCCAAAAAACAAACAAGGACTCACCAGCTGCTCGAATTAATTCTCAGTCGGGGGGAGCTTTGCATCCAAGCCGGCACCATCCCGCACAACGGGTAGAGTGACGTAGCAGGCTATGGACACTTAGTCACTTGGCTTGCCTGCCCGCGGATCTTCAAAGTAGCTGCTCGGAGCCCACCTACTACCACGCAGTTGTGGCACGGAAAAAGGCTTTTCGATTACTCCTCCTAGTGCCTACACGCAACAATCACAGTGCCCCCATTCCTGCTTCCCTGCGGAACAGTAGCCGCGGTAGCCACAGGCGACCTTCTCTCAGAAGGGATCGCCTTGCAAGATGCGGCCGACGACTGGTGCGCCCCGCTGATGATGGAGATTCTGCCCCAGCCTTGCATAGGCCAGATGCACCGGGTACACCGGGTAGACGTGAAGTTTGCATGCAGGGACAGGTGCCAAAAGGACTAACATTTTGCTCGAGGGGATCCACGAAATCATGCGTATTTGATCGAGTTTGATTTTGTCACTGAAAGGCACGCATGCATGCACGCATCGCGTGTATGTACGTATGGTATGCATGCATGCTGGCATGTGTGATGCTTATTTACGGTATGTATGGCATGTTTTAGAGTAGGCTTGGGCATGGTATGCCTGTCTGTCTGTCTGTCTGTCTGCATGCATGCATGCATGCATGCATGCATGCATGCATGCATGCTTGTGTATGTACCCATGTATGCTTGTACGCGCGTATGTATGCATGTATGTTAAGGTGTCTCATGTAATTTCTTGTAGTACGAGCAACACCATATAATGTAAGGATGCCGGCAGCTGAGCTAGCCGGGCGTAAGAGGCTTATGCCCGACTGCGGCTAGAAGCTACTGTGCTTTCCTCTGTTTTGCCTATACCCTCTCATTCGCACTCCCTCATTCTAAACACTTCCTGGACCTTCCAGACACCCACAACAACAGATGGGTGTTTGGGAGCTCCGTTTCCATTTCATTGTCCATAATTTTCTTTTCCGAAGGAAGCTCCGCCAGATCCTACATAGCACTATACAAGCCCTTTATACCCCAATAAACCCTATAACCCTCATTATCAACCCAGGAATACATTCTTTGCTGACGGCAAAGATTGGTGCAGGGACTGAGCATCCTCCCTTTGAGGGTTCTACCCATACACCCTAAACTCATATGACCCCAATGCTTGTAACTTCTCCTTGGATATCCTGTCTAGTCCCTAACAAGGGCACCCAGAACCTCCTGTACCCCAGGGTCCCTAAAGGCCCCCTACCTTGATAAATTCCCATAGGCTACGCAGTTAGGGTTCAGGGTTTAAGGGTTTCATTTAAAAGGGCCGTTGCATCCCAGGAGGGGGTCCCAGGACCCCTTTTACCTGGTACCCACTACCCATCATCTAGACTCAAAGAAAGAAGGACTATGGCCTTAATAGTAGCAGGGTAACAGGTGCCGGGGGGTCCAAGGAGTTCCCTAAGCCCTGAACCCTCAACCCTTAATCCTAAACCCGAAATCCTAAACCCGAAACTGTAACCCTAAATCCTTAAATCCTAAACCCTTTATCCTAAACTTTAATCCTAAACCCTACAGGTTACACTGCCTTGTTTTGGGAGCCAGGCTTCCGTAGCGCCTACTTCCTGGGCTTGGCGACCCCGGGCTCAAGGTTTGCATAGGTTGGGTCATTCCCCCTCCCAGTAACTGTCCATAAAGGGGCCTTATTAGGTGGGTTCTTATAACTCCTATAACCCATTGTGGTAACAGTTACTGTAAGGGGGAATGACCCAAAGCAGAAGGGTTTGGGGTTTTGGGCGTTTAGGATTCAGGGGTTTAGGGTTTGGGGATTTAGGGGTTTGGCGGTTTGAGGGGTTTAGGATTTAGGGGTTTGGGTTTAGAGTGTTGGGGGTTTGGGGGTTTAGCATTTGCAGGTTGAGATATTTTTATGGTGGCAGTGTCCACCATAGAAGCCTCATGTAAGCCGTAGGTAAGTCCAGAGGGACGTTTAGGAAGCTTCAGTGGCTATACGTAGCGTAGCCTAGACACTGAACAAGTTGAAGATACCGGAACATCAGGTACAAAACCTTGTTTCCATGTTCTTATCCGTTATCCCCAGATAATCCCCATATACTATAGTAGTTTCCATGTTCTTTTCCATTATCCCTATATAATCCCAATATACTAGGTCTCTGCAGGTAGGGGGAGGCGTCTGCAGCTGCAGGATTTTGGTAATTCGGGGCCTGGCTTTGTCATATTTGAGCTATAGTCTAAACTCCTTAAAGGGGGTTATATAGGGGATTATATAGGGTTCTACTACAATTACGGACTAATGCGGGGGATACTAGGCGTTCAGGCTATGGCTTATGTAGTAGTCAAGGGTGCGCATTCAGAAAAAATTGAACCCAACGACTGCTAAAGGGTGGGTGAGGGAGTGGTGTAGAAATGGGCGGGGGGGGTCAGTTGTTGTTTTGGGGCATGAAGGGGG